CCCCAACCCTTCTTCCTGGTACCATGCCTTTTGCTTTAATTCACCATGGCGCTTACTATGACCAGAATATTTCAGCTTCCGACACAAGATGCTGTTTATTAGCCAGTCTTCCGTGACGTTCAGATCGTTTAAAAGGACTGTCCGTGGTATTCTGAGAATCTTTCTTGAGCATTTAAATGGGGTAGTCCCTGTTTTCTTTTTCTTTAAGAGCTGGGAGATCGTCCACGACTCACATCCATATGTTGCTTCAGGAAAGATACATGTTATCTAAATTATAACAAAATATGCAGCTCTAAAAAACATAGTTTTAAAACAACAAAAAATCAACAACAACACAAATATGCATTCTCAACTTCAATATGTTAATTGAAACAATCGTCATCAAAAGTTAGGGAAATACAAAAGAAAGATTCCCGTTCCAATATGGGAGGCAATTGTTCTTTATTTTAAACCCCCACCACGGTTTGAGTCGTGGTGCCCCAATATAACATGACTGTTGAACAGTGCTTCTGGTGACTTGTGCTGTGGTGATCCTCATCTGAATAGTGGCACTTTGTGTCACCGGGTAATGGTCGCTCGTTGTACGTTCCTAGTTGCATTCAACGACACACATACACAAATACTCCGGATAAATGAAAACTGGATTATCTAAAAGAAAAAAAAAAACAAGGAAATTTATTTATATTGAACGGGATAAATTCGAGGAAGGCGAAGAAGTAGGAGCAATTACTAGACTTATCATGGTAAAAACAATATATTTCCCGTCCTTTTTAGGATGAAATTTGTCGTTATTTGAAGCCCTACTCTGGCTCTTGCCAGGGGCCGCAATATAGCCTATTCATAAATATGGCCTAAAGGCTGAACGCGGTGTTTGGAACCTCTCCACGGTGATCCTCACCCACATGGTGACATATTGTGTCATCCGGTGTTTATCGCTTGTGTGATATCTGGGTGGGGTAGAAAGTCAGTCAGTCAATCCCTATCTTGCTGTTGCTGGATGTCTGTGTGGATATGGGATACTCATGGTATCAAAGATATGAGGTAAAAGCAGATATCGATATTCTGGGATCCTGCTGTGAGGAAACATACTGAAAATCATAGGGTCTGCGTTGCTAAGCTGTTTGCCTCGCCCTCTGAAGGTCATGGGTTCGTTCACAGAGTGGCGTTCAGTTTCAGTGCAATTTTTAGGTAGAACACTTGGGATTGTCGCCTGAGCTACCGAGGTCGTACTCTATGCGAGGTATTTCTGCCAGCAGCTAGCCGTTCTGCAAAGACAGGCTGAGCCATATCAGATAAAACTCGCTGCAAGGAAGTTGATCCTCCAACCATTACCTTTGTACAGAAAAGCACAAAACAGGCGCTTAGATGGAAAACTAATTGGCAGAAGATCGAGGACTGAAACAAAACCTGAGACGGAGGTTGATACAAGAACATGAAACCGCTCGACTGGAATCCATCAAAGGTATTGAAACACTTGCACATGACAGAAGAACAATAGAAAAACAGACTGGTCCTTCTGTGGCAAATAAAGGCTAAAGCAGTGATTCCCAAACTGTGCGTCGCGTCACCTGGACGCAGCAAAATATTGTAAAAGCTTCATAAGTGATTTAACCAAGACACGAACAGTCATACTTCTACTTAGGTTAGGGCGCTGTGCAAAATTGTTCATTGAAAAAATCGCCGCGACCAAGAAATGTTTGGGAAACACTGGCATAAAGATATATATAAGAAGTAAAACAAAACAAAAAGGACTTTTTTTCGCACAAGTGATGCATTAGAGTACTAACGTGAATCTTATCAGAACTATTTTTTGGCCAAGACTATGCTATCAGTGCCAAACGTGGACACTTACACCCTCAAAAAAAAAAAACTTTTTATGAATATTAAGAGGTGCCAGCGTAACGCTGATCACATAACCAAACTACTGCCGATTGGTATGTAACACCATGGCCACTCTTCCCATAAGCCCGATGCGCCTGAAGGCGTGAAAACGGATCTTTCCTTTTAATTAGAAATGTACAACTGTTCTTACAGTCCACGCTGTGTGACGTTTATAGTTTTGTCTGTGCACAACTTTTTGTCGCATGCACTTTTAGTCATTTCTGGCACTGATGACCTTCCATAGTGCATGATGACGAAAGTTCCAGCGTCTTCTATCTCCCTATGCATCTCTTCTTTTCCAGCTTTTCCCCAGCCACGATGTACTTCAGGTTTTCTTAATTTTTTTTATTTTTTTATTGTTATGATGTGATAAAAGAACTGAATTGTATCCTTCTGAATTTGATAAACAGTTATTTCAAGAAATTGTTGTTACGCGTTTGCACGACTTTTCAAAATACACATAATATTCCACTAATAGACTAAGGTTAGTTGCGTATCCTTTACAGAACGTTGCAGAACCAACCCAAATGTACGTCCATTAGTTTGCCATTGATTTCTAGACGGTTGGCTTTCTTGATACCGCTGTCGAAACCAACGCAAGGCCCATGGCCCGCAGCTGGGATCGAACCCGGCATCCCGGCATTACCAAGCGTTCGCATCGACTTAGCCACAGATGTGACCATTATTAGATTAGGTGCCCATTAGTCTCCTCTGCATATCAGAACTAGGGTATTAGAGAGACAAGGTGTCACTACAGTTTTCTCAGTGCTAAGTCCCAGAAGGCTCAGGTGGATGGGTCACTCTTGGAAAATGGATAATGATGGAGTCCTTAAGGAATTATTTACGGTAAATTACTAACGAGATAATGAGGACAAGGGGACTTTTTCTACAAAACAATGATGTATGCAAGCGGTACATTTCAGATATAAATATTCGGGTAGATTCGTGGGCCAAATGTCATGGAGGGGAATGGGAATAACGTAAAAAAAACAAAAAAACGATATTGCATATAGGTTGAGAGCTGAGCGTGTGAGAAGAAGTTCACGGAATATATAGAATTGCAACTACGTTTCTGAATTTCTATACTCTAATTGTGGAAGACTTCCTAGCGCTGCTGTGTCTTGCTGGTCACATACGGCATCGCCATCAGCTCCATAGTCAGACTACATGTAGTCGAGACAACAACACTACCAAAGATGTTTTTTTTTCCCTACGACACTCTGGGGTAAGAGGGAATAAACGAGCCGATTGGCTTGCTGGTAGGGCCACGGTAGATACATGACAACGAATGGACTGGGGTGATGTTCTCAGTTGTCTCAACAAGGCAGGACGTGTAGATGAATCAGGAGACGATGGTAATCGACGACATTAGTAACAGGAACTCCACAGCGAGAGCGTGTACAGCAGGAGTCTACTGACTATCAGTAGTTGGTCTTCTTTCACCAATAATTTGGTACCCATTGTCGATCCTAGACAATCTGGAAGGGTGGGCCGTCTTTGATCACGATGCTAGGCCTAGGACTACTCCTACAGCACGTATCAGAAAAGACGAAACGGTCGTTTTGCAACAGGTGCAACCGGTGTTTTATAATTATATATATACACACACATACATTTTTACAAACATATATATATATATATATATATATATATATATATATATATATATATATATATATATATATATATATATACATCTATCGTTGCTGCGGTGGCAAGTTGTATGCCTACCTGCAACACCAAAGTGACAAATGGGCGGCTGGTTGATTGACAGAAGTTTATCGGACAGACTTTGGTAGTTGGCAGAGTAACACACGCAGACGTTGATAGGAAAACATTGGCTTTAGGTATTTAAAAAAAAAAAATTCAATAGAAGCTTGGACAAATCTACCGAAGCATATCCCCCACATCGCTCCGTTGCTTAAACTGCCAGCCCAAATCTCTTTCTGCTGCTTCCGCAATAAGTTCATGTGGAAAAAAAGGTGTCGCCCTACATGATCACTATACAGTAGGCAAAGAAGAATAGTAAACCAACACACAGCTGGTGTTATCAGTCATCACACGCTGAGGGATATTCTAAAGATGGGATCCGAGCGCTTATGGATTTGTCCGATGTGCGATGAGGATACTCGGTCATAGCCCTCCTCGCCATGGGATGTGATCACTTGTTTCCTCATTACACAATGGAACACTGTTTATTCTTTGTTGTTCGTTCATCACAAGTGACGACTTATTTTTTCATCATGAAACTTTTGTTGATCGTCTGTGAGTCCGGAATTCACTTATAAGCCCGGAATTAACTAGAACAGTAAAGGCAGGAAACAAAGTCTGTAGATAAATGGTTTGTTATACATGTCTTTCTAATCTGTCTTCCATGTTCACCTGATGCTCAGTGTGTCGCCTGCGCGTCTTCTGATAAAGGTTCGCCAAACAGTTCAGTCTTGTTCAGCAGTAGTCTCCTGTCAGGAATTTCTGGCCACCATGATCAGATATGCCTAATTACATCTCAAATACAACACGACCGTTTGGAAAGACGGAATGCTGCCAACAGACAATATGGGAACTAGCTCTGTGCAAGTCTCACGAACACATTTCTCACTTCATTTGACCAGGACAGATTTGCACATAACATTCTTTATTTTGTGAATTTATGATTTTACTTGAGCCGTTTTATAATGGTCTTCTTTAATACATCTTCCATCTGCTGTTATCAGACTTTCTAACTACTGAAGGCCAGACTCGATAGCGTAGTTGGCTAAACCTGACTTCGCGACGACCGGGTGACGAACTCCCTGTGATCCGGGTTCACGCCCGGGGTAAGGCAAAAAAGCCAAATGTATCTCAGATTTACGGTATCTATCATGGAAACAAGGCCGAAGAGTTTCAATATCAGTAGTACCGAGCCAAAGGGTTAACAACTCATGGTTTCTGGATATTTAAAAAAAAAAAAAAAAACTATTGAAAAATTACTGCTATCTTCAGAATTGTCATATTTAATTTATTATTATCATCATGTGTCTAGGGATGAGAGATTTATTAATCTATGCCATTTCGTGACGTCTGATTGTATTATTTTCATGACATAGAATAATTCATTATTATCGTTATTGTCTTTTTAGGCGTAATGGCACAGCTTCCTCAAGGTATGTCTTCTTCATTTGATAAGACAGTGTCAAAAAAACTGACAGGACTGTGACACAAAAACTGATAAGACAGTGACAGAAAAACTGATAGGACAGTATCACAAAAATTGATAGGACAGTGACACAAAAGCTGATAGGACAGTGTCACAAAAACTGATAGGACAGCGACACAAAAACTGATAGGACAGTGTTACAAAAACTGATAGGACAGTGACACAAAAACTTTTAGGACAGTGTCACAAAAATTGATAGGACAGTGACAAAAAAACTGACAGGACAGTGACACAAAAACTGATAGGACAGGAACACATTAAAATAGGATAAGAAAATGCGTTGCTTCCCTACTGATTGACCGGCAGTAATGCATAATTAATTAGGCTCGCATCAACTATCCATTTATGCAGATGATTAAGATAATATTTATGTTCGAATACAGAAGGTATATTTTCTGGAAGTGTGTTGAGAGAACGATAGAGAAGGAGAGAGAGAGAGAGAGAGAGAGAGAGAGAGAGAGAGAGAGAGAGAGAGAGAGAGAGAGAGAGAGATACTGGTTAGTTCGTGTATTAATATTACTTCAGGTAGTTCACGTGGCCTCTGTGGCCCGTGTGCACATTATGACAATTGCAAGTTTAGTTCTTTGACACAGCAGTCCCACATCCCCATCCCCAATCTTTACCCCTACCCCGATCATGACACTAGTAATACAGCCTTAAATCCCCTGACTCGAAGATCCCTTTGCCTACATCACACGGCAGAAGTGATAAAGGTTAGTTGCGTATACTTTACAGGACTTTGCAGAACCAACCCCAGCAGCCCCAGGCTGTTGTGTGGTTTCTCTAGGCAGATATATGTCTTGTAGTATGCTATTGCCTGCTGGACGGTCGGCTTCTTGATACCACTGTCGAAACCAACGCAAGGCGTATGGCCCGCAGCTGGGATCAACCAGGCACCCCGGCATTACGAAGCATTCGCATCGACAGAGCCGACAGAAGTGATAAAGACAGGCACTAAATGGCGTCTTCTTTCCCCTGTAATTTGCAGACTATCTCAACGCCTGTGATGCAGCTCAGTGTCGAGAAGCTTACAGTGGAAGAGCATACCAAACGGGAGCCACCTGCCGGGAGCAACAATACTATGACGAGTGTTTGTTAAGGACAGCCGGAACAGTGGGTACAATAACTAATGATGCGCAGTTCCAAGAGTTTCTGTCGAGAGTTCCGATAGCGCGGCTACCATACTGCCCAAAGGATTTCATTGCTATAAGTCAGTTGTTGACAGGCGATCTACTGATGTCGATCAGAGAAGTACTCACTAGACAAGGGTCAGAGACACGTAAGTGCATGAAATAGTATCTTTCGGTGTTCCTGAGTGTGTAGTTATGTTACTATTTGTCAGTACAGTGCCCCATTCGTGAGCATGAGGTAGAGAGGACTGACAGTGCTGTGTATTGCATATCGTAAAAGGCAAGCACTTTATGGCATGTTGACATAGCATCAATTTGTCGCTTAGCTTTAAACCGAAATGCAACGTATTAAGTACACTTTCACTGGTCAAAGCACTATAAGTAGCAGCAGCAGAAATAGTAGCAGAAAAAGAAGAAAACAAAGAAAACGAAGAAAAAGAAGAAGACGAAAATAAGGGAGAAAAGAAAGAAGAAAGAAGATAGAAGAAGAAGACAAAGAAGAAGAAAAAGAATAATAATAATAATAATAATAACAATAATAATAATAATAATAATAATAATAATAATAATAATAATAAGAAGAAGAAGAAGAAGAAGAAGAAGAAGAAGAAGAAGAAGAAGAAGAAGAAGAAGAAGAAGAAGAAGAAGAAGAAAAAGAAGAAGAAGAAGAAGGAGAAGAAGAAGAAGAAGAAGAAGAAGAAGAAGAAGAAGAAGAAGAAGAAGAAGAAGAAGAAGAAGAAGAAGAAGAAGAAGAAGAAGAAGAAGAAGAAGAAGAAGAAGAAGAAGAAGAAGAAGACGAGAAAAAAAGAAAAAGAAGAAGAAGAAAAAAATAAAAAGAGGAAGAAGAACAAAAAGAACAAGAACAAGAAGAAAAAAGACAAGAAGAACAAGAAGAATAACAAGAATAGAAACAAGAATAAGAACAAAAAAGAACAAGAAGAACAAGAAGAATAACAAGAAGTACAAGAAGAAGAAAAAGAAGAAGAAGAAGAAGAAGAAGAAGAAGAAGAAGAAGAAGAAGAAGAAGAAGAAGAAGAAGAAGAAGAAGAAGAAGAAGAAGAAGAAGAAGAAGAAGAAGAAGAAGAAGAAGAAGAAGAAGAAGAAGAAGAAGAAGAAAAAGAAGAAGAAGAAGAGCAACAACAACAAGAAAAACAAGAAGCACAAGAAGAAGAACAAGAAGAACGAACGAACGAACGAACAAACAAACTTACAAACATACATAATTGCATACATACTTAAATACACACACATATACCCACATACTTACACAGCTACATATGCATACATAAATCAACCAACATGCAAACATACATACATGCATACATACACACACATAACATACATACACACATATACATGCATACACACATACACAATCACACATACAGACACCCACATACATTCACACATTCACATATATATGCCTGCATACATACATACCTACATACATAATGCACACACACACACCTACAATCACACATACACTCGTTTACAATCACACATGCACCCACATATATACACCCATATACTTACAACATACATACATAAAAACACACACATACTTTTAAACCTAAAAATACATACATATATCCACATACGTACACACACACCAACAATCACACACACACCTACATATAAGTAAGATGTTAATGCATGTGAATTATTAACTACATCTATGGTGGCATATAATCACTAGTAAATTTTTAAAGGCTGCTGTTAAATGCGTAGATAGTCGTATTTTTCAGATCGACTGGGGGGTGATTCCATAAATGTGCAGCAGAATATGACAAAACTTGTTTTAAATAGATCTATTCTAGGCTTTAGCAAATGCACATTTAGCCCTTTGATGTGCTTAGGGTTGGTGTGAATCAACCGGAAAAGATAATCTGCAGTATTCTACGCTAAAATTGTATGAATAAATTTGCTTTATTAACAATTAATCGTTTATTAAATGGAAGAATTCTTAGATGGCTATAGAGATGATTGTTGTCAGTGTGTTTTCTATCTGACACTAGCACGATTTTGTTTTAAGTTAGATTTGGAGCAACCATCCCAAACCGTGGAACAATAGTCGATATGGGCTTGAATGTGGGATACATAAAATATTTTGTGTGTGCTCTGATACAACCACAAGAACAAGAAAGAGAACAATAAAAACAAGAAGAAGAACAACAAGAAGAACAAGAAACACAAGAAGAAGAACAAAAAGAAGAATAAAAACAACAACAACAAGAACAAAAGAACAAAAAGAAGAAGAACACTGCGCAATCAGTTGGATATCGTGGATGGAATCCAGTCCAGCTCTTCTGGCCTCTCTCATCCACGTTAGATTAGAATCATCTTCTCTGTCTTTAACCTGTCGATACAAGTGATTGCCCAGGCAATCTCTTTTGTTGTTGTCTTTTGAATTCATCCCATTTGATTTTAAACATTTCAATCAGATATTTGTTTTCGAATGCATGAAATTATTAGATTCTTGTCTTTAGTCATCCAAAAAAAAAATGAATTTAAAAAAGAAAAATTAAAAATCAATCAATCAATAAATGTGTGTATAAATCTATTATGCCCTTGCTTCTTATATCACAGTTGGAAACAATATTTCAAGTATATGTACAAGTACCTTTACATACAAGCAAATATTTACGATTTCTTCATTCTACATTTCAGCTGAAGGGACTCTAGAGCTCAGTATGCAAACCAGTATTAACCTCCTCGTCGACGTGTTGTTGGTTTGCGAGAGATCTGAACTCTTCATTAGTTTATTATTTCGAGCATCAGGAGTTAACAGTAACACCTACAACTCTTCAGAACAGGCGACCCTGTCGCTTGCTCTCAACGTGATCATAGAGACATACACTGGGACACGCTGCTCAATTAACCTCACAATTATTATCAACGGTATTATAAGAACGACCACTACTACCACAACAACCACTACAGAAACCTCAAGTACTATTCCAGATACAACCACTATAGAAACTACAACCACCACTCCAACAACCACCACTTCAGAAAGCACGACCACTGCGTCAGCAACAAGCACTACAGAAACTACAACCACCACTCAAACAACAACCACTACAGAAACTACAACAACCACTCCAACAACAACCACTACAGAAACTACAACCACAACACCAACAGCAACCACTACAGAAACTACAACAACAACACCAACAGCAACCACTACAGAAACTACAACCACAACACCAACAGCAACCACTACAGAAACTACAACCACAACACCAACAGCAACCACTACAGAAACTACAACCACAACACCAACAACAACCACTACAGAAACAACAACAACTACACCAACAACAACCACTACAGAAACTACAACAACCACTCCAACAGCAACCACTACAGAAACAACAACAACTGCACCAACAACAACCACTACAGAAACTACAACCACAACACCAACAACAACCACTACAGAAACTACAACAACCACTCCAACAGCAACCACTACAGAAACAACAACAACTACACCAACAACAACCACTACAGAAACAACAACAACTACACCAACAACAACCACTACAGAAACAACAACAACTACACCAACAACAACCACTACAGAAACTACAACCACCACTTCAGCAACAACCACTACAGAAACTACAACCACCACTTCAGCAACAAATGCACCAGAAACTTCCTCTAACAATAAATACTACAAAAACGACAACCCCAACTCCAACAACAAATATTACAGAAAGCGGAATGTGTAATCAACAGCTGCCTGCAATTCAAAGAATAAGTGTTGGTAAAATTAGTCTTTGATAATAACTGTTGTTAATTTAAAAAAAAAAAAAATTGCCATAGAATATTCATGCAGTATTTTTTGTCTTGCACATATCTTCAGGCAAAGTTATAGGCATTAAATACCTGTTGCCATATAATACAGTTAGTCCTGTAAAATATCTTATTGTAAAGTTGATGTTTCCGACTGAGGTCAGAAAACTAATTTGTATCAAAAAACTACTGATAATTAAATGGATTTAGGTTAAATGCCGACACTTTAAAAATGCTGCTGATAGTTAATATTATACTTTTCCCTATCTCTTGATAATTTACTTAACGGGTCACTAAACCGGGACCCCACACAAAACTCTTTGGGTTGGGAACCTTTGCATTTGGGATAAGAACAGAAAAAGTAGGGTGTTATTTGTCTGTACTAAATCTTCGTTTCTTTATCGTTTTCTTTCAGTCGGTCACTACTTTAAATAAAATCTCATAAAAGCAGTTGCAGTTTTCGTCATCATTATATGTGTGTATATATATATATATATATATATATATATATATATATATATATATATATATAGTCTATGTAAGTTGTATGTAAAGAGTGTACACAATGAAGATGAATGGTCGTAAACCACTAGGAACACCAAGAAGACGATGGAGAGAAAATGTCCAGGGAGATCTGCGAAATCTTTGTGTCACAAACTGGAAAGAGAAGTCCAACCAGAGAGATGAATGGAGGCAGGTTATATCTGCAACAATGAATCTCAAGAGTTGGGAATGCTGAAGAAGAAGGCCAACCAGAGAGATGAATGGAGGCAGGTTATATCTGCAACAATGAATCTTGAGAGTTGGGAATGCTGAAGAAGAAGGCCAACCAGAGAGATGAATGGAAACGGGTGATATCTGCAGCAATGAACCTCAAGGGCTCGGAATACTGAAGAAGAAGTAGAAGAAGAAGTATGTTGTATGTATATGAGTGTGCGTTGGTTTCTTCTTCTGCCTTCTATCCCAATCTTGTAACCGTTTCACTCCAAGACGTTCAATCCTTCGATATCGCATGCAGATCTTCCAATGTTCTCTCCATCTTCATAACTTCACTCCTTAGCTTGGTCCCTGATACTGTATGGTGATGGTTGGCTAGCACTCCTAAGCTAAGGTTGTAGCGCACTAAACGACAATACCAAGAACTATGTTGCTCTAGGAGAAAAAGAATAAAATAAACCAGGCTCTGATTCGTTGCCTAGGGTAGGATGATTCATGTGTGATAGTGGCTCCAAACCTTTCCGATGCCACAACCCTTTAATACAGTTCCTCATGCAGTGGCGACTTTTAATACAGTTTCTCATGCTGTGGCGACCTTAAATACAGTTTCTCATGCTGTGGCGACTTTTAATACAGTTTCTCATGCTATGGCGACCTTTAAAACAGTTCCTATTGCTGTGGCGAACTTTAGCACAGTTCCTCATACTGAAGCGAACTTTAATACAGTTCCTCGTGTTGTGGCTACCTTAATACTGTTCCTCGTGCTGTTGCGACCTTTAATACAGTTCATCGTGTTGTGGCGACCTTTAATACAGTTGCACATGCTGTGGCCAACTTTAGTACAGTTCCTCGTGTTTTGGCGACCTTCAGTACAGTTCCTCGTGCTGTGACGACCTTTAATACAGTTCTTCATGATGTGGCGACCTTTAATACAGTTCATTGTATTGTGGTGACGTTTTATACAGTTCTTCGTGATGTGACGACCTTTAATACAGTTCATCATGCTGTGGCGACCTTTAATATAGTTCATCATGTTGTGGCGAACTTTAGTACAGTTCCTCATGCTGTAGCGAACTCTAATACAGTTCCTCGTGCTGTGGCTACCTTAATACAGTTCCTCGTGTTGTGGTGACCTTTAATACAGTTTCTCATGCTGTTGCGAACTTTAGTACAGTTCCTCGTGTTTTGGCGACCTTCATTACAGTTCCTCGTTTTGTGACGACCTTTAATACAGTTTATCATAATGTGGCGACCTTCAATACAGTTCCTCGTGTTAAGGCGACCTTCAGTACAGTTCCTCATGCTGTTACGACCTTTAGTACAGTTCTTCATATTGTGGCGACCCTTAATACAGTTCCTCGTGTTGTGGCGACCTTTAATACAGTTCCTCGTGTTAAGGCGACCTTTAGTACAGTTCCTTATGCTGTTGCGACTTTTAATACAATTCCTCGTGTTGTGGCGACCTTTAATACAGTTCCTCGTGTTTTGGCGACCTTTAATACATTTCCTCGTGTTGTGGAGACCTTCAATACAGTTCCTTATGCTCTGGCGACCTTTAGTACGGTTCCTCACGGTGTGTTGACCTTTAGTACAGTTCTTTTTTTTGTGTGTGGCCACCCTTATTACAGTTCCTCGGGTTGTGGCGATCTTTAATACAGTTACTCATGCTCTGGCGACCTTTAGTACAGCTCCTCATGCTGTGGGGACCTTGAATACAGTTCCTCGTGTTGTGGCGACCTTTAGTACAGTTCCTCATACGGTGGCGACCCTTAATACAGTTCCCCGTGTTGTTGCGACCTTTATTACAGTTCCTCGTGTTGTAGCGACCTTCAGTACATATTCTCAGGCTGTTGTGACCGTAATACAGTTTCTACGTGTTGTGGCGACCTTCTGTACAGTTCACCTTGTTGTTGCAATTTTTAGTACAGTTCCTCATGCTGTTGCGACCTTTAATACAGTTCCTCATGCTGTGACGACCATTAATACAGTTGCTTGTGTTGTGGCGACCCCTTAATACAGTTCCTTGTGTTGTGGCGACATTCAGTACAGTTCCTCATGTTGTGCCGACCTTTATTACAGTTTCTTGTGTTGTGGCGACCCCTTAATACAGTTCCTCGTGTTGTGGCGACATTCAGTACAGTTCCTCATGCTGTGGCGACCTTTAATACAGTTTCTTGTGTTGTGGCGACCCCTTAATACAGTTCCTCGTGTTGTGGCGACCCCGAACCATAAAATTATTTTCGTTGCTACTTCATAACTTCAAAAAATGAGTGTTTTCCAGAGGTCTTAGGCAACCCCTGTGAAAGGATCGTTCGACCCCCAGAAAGGGTCGCCACCCTCAGGCTGAGAACCAGTGCTGTATGAGATTTCATGTCACGTCCTGAAAAGTAATACATACAGGACGTTAGTCATCTCGAACACAGTTATACCCTTTTACACATTTTCTTCTCCCACATATATGCTCAGTTGGGAGGCGGTCTCAAAGCAGTGTTCTTCAATCACAGTGATAAATAAAGCATTTACAAAGCGGCATGGTTTGACGTTTTTAATAACAGATCAACCTCATGGCACACGGGTAGTTACCCATAAATCCTCCCTTCTTCTTCTTACTAAAGTCTGAGTCCGAAGAAGCTCATCACAGTGCACAAGCTCTGTAGCACCGGCGAGGATCCTGAAATACTTTGGGTAGATTTATGACTCCATGTTTTGATCTGGCAACTCCTTTCGATTTCCAGTTGCCAAGGACTTTTCTTTTTTGTTTACTTGCGCAGCAATGCACATGGGTGTCCGATCTCACTACCCAGAGACCAGGGGGAATTACTAGAAGTCTTTGTCCACGTGAAATAATCCCAGCCCTTACCGGGTTTTGAATCCGGCACCTCTAGCACTTGAGTCGGACATCATGCATCCAGACCACACAGCTCTCTTAGTTGTCTTTCTTTTTCTTTCGAGTGTTACTCACATTTGCAGTTTCTCTATTTTACACTTCGGTATCGAATTCTATTTTCCATTCATTCAAGGGGGCAGTTTCTCTTCTGAGGTAGCGAGCGAGGCACTTACATATTCTGAAATGACTTAAAACTTGTGTTTTCTGGGGGTTTTCAAATAGAAACAGGGCAAGAATCACTGCTGGGGAAACCAGTGTTAAACTGAAACAGACACTAGCGTCTGATTGAAAGTCTATAGGCCAAAATCACAGACACTAGCGTCTGATTGAAAGTCTATAGGCCAAAATCACAGACACTAGCGTCTGATTGAAAGTCTATAGGCCAAAATCACAGACAAAAGCGTCTGATTGAAAGTCTATAGGCCAAAATCACAGACACTAGCGTCTGATTGAAAGTTTATAGGCCAAAATCACAGACACTAGCGTCTGATTGAAAGTCTATAGGCCAAAATCACAGACACTAGCGTCTGATTGAAAGTCTATAGGCCAAAATCACAGACACTAGCGTCTGGTTGAAAGTCTATAGGCCAAAATCACAGACACTAGCGTCTGATTGAAAGTCTATAGGCCAAAATCACAGACACTAGCGTCTGATTGAAAGTCTATAGGCCAAAATCACAGACACTAGCGTCTGATTGAAAGTCTATTGGCCAAAATCACAGACACTAGCGTCTGAAAGTCTATAGGCCAAAATCACAGACACTAGCGTCTGATTGAAAGTCTATAGGCCAAAATCACAGACACTAGCGTCTGATTGAAAGTCTACAGGCCAAAATCACAGACACTAGCGTCCTATTGAAAGTCTATAGGCCAAAATCACAGACACTAGCGTCTGATTGAAAGTCTATAGGCCAAAATCACAGACACTAGCGTCTGATTGAAAGTCTATAGGCCAAAATCACAGACACTAGCGTCTGATTGAAAGTCTATAGGCCAAAATAACAGACACTAGCGTCTGATTGAAAGTCTATAGGCCAAAATCACAGACACTAGCGTCTGATTGAAAGTCTATAGGCCAAAATCACAGACACTAGCGTCTGATTGAAAGTCTATAGGCCAAAATCGCTTTGAAGCAGAAGTAAATGTATTTCCATTCCTTTGGGACTTTGTCCTTCTGCTATGGAACTGGTAGCATAATTCTGAAATAAGTATTGATAAAATATTACAAAATATAAAGCTAATCACATAAAAATAA